GCAGGCACCCGTGGCAGGCGAGCACCGGCCCCCGTTGTGGCAGTCGCAGCGCTGCGAGCACTGGAAGCCAAAGGTCCCGAGGGGGCATTCCTCCTGGCACCTGCGGACCACATGGAGTGAGGCCATGGTCTCCCAGCCTGGCACCCTCCATGGTGCCCTCCTCCCCCCACCCTTCCTCCAGGAAGCCTTTCTGGCTGAGTTCCCCCAGGGAGTCTCCCCTTCCCAAGCCTCCTCAGTACCCAATGCGTTTTATCCTATTTCATTGGCTCTAAGCCTTATGGATGTTTTTCATTTTTTAAACTGGGGTAAGACATGCTGTGGCTTGAATGTCTATGTCCCCCTGAAGCTTGTCAATACCCCATATGAAGAGGCACGGCCAAGGAGGTGTGATGTGAGGGGTCTGCCCTGTGAATGGCCTCCTGATCTCATAGGGGTTTGGGGGAGCCACTGGGGCCTGTGTGGGGACATGGTGCTCGGGACGCCATCTTGGGAGTAGAGGCCAGGCTCTCACCTGACACCAAGACCAGGCTCCTAATCCTGGAGCGTGTCTGTTGTCTGTAAATTGTCCAGTCTCAGGTGCTTGCAACAGCGTTACTGGATGAGACAGCGCATGATACAGCTGATCCATTCATCAAAGCGCCCAGCCCGGGGTACCCACACACCCATCGCCTCCAGGACTTTCCATCTTCCCTGAGAAAATGCCTTTCCCAGAACACGCCTTTCCCAAAACACGCCTGTTTCAAAATGTTTTCCCACCTTTGAGGATAGACACCTCTTGGGCTGGCAGCTGTGGCAGTCCAGCCACGCGTGGCTTTCATCAGGGCACTCACGCTCGAAGGGGGCGGCCCTCCCCCAGTGTGGAGCTGCAGAGAAGCCATCCTCCCTCATCAGACTGGGAGTCCCACAGCAGGGGCTTCTCCCTTTCTGGGGAGGTCCTCTCAGGGCTGAGCTGAGCCTCCCCTCCCACCCCCAAGGAGGATGGCCCCTGGCGTCCTGTGTGAGCTCGGACTGTGCTTGGACCTTCAGGCACATTGGAAGTGACTGTACTCCACTGGACTCACTACCAGGGTTGTGGCCCCTCTGTTGGTTGTGACCCTTGCAGCCCACCAGCAGCCCCTCCTCCACCCAGGCAGTGTCACAGCCGCATGTCAGACTGGGTCCTGACATGGGAGGGTAGGCCTGGGAGGGTGAGGCGGGGCCCAGGGACACTCAGACAGGCCTCTGGGTCCCCACATCAGAGACCTGCCCTAAAGCCCTGGCCTCCTTCCTCCTTGTGAAGCTTTGTCAGGCTGTCGGAAGGTTTAGGGGCACATTAGGATGTGCAGGTGCCGGCCGTCTGCGTTATTACTATTACAGCTGTTAATGCTGTTTCTGCTATCCTTACAGCAGAGCCCAGCTGACCTTCTGGCCTGAAATCCTGGCATGAGATGGTCAGAGGGAAGAGCCCTGAGATGTGGACAGTGCACACAAGGAGCTGCGTCCGAGGGTCACTCTCCTCCACTCCCCGGGCCTGGGCTGCATCTGATGGTCACACAGCACTCCCTGGGGTTCCTGGGCAGCTTCCACCACAGCCAGGGGAAGCAAAAAAAGATGTTTTCTAAAATATGCCGCCTGACTCCTCAGTTCTTGGGGGTCTCAGGTGCAGCCAGGTGTTCTCTACAGACAGATGAACCAGGTGTCTATTGGGGTGACTGGCCTGACTCCGAGACAGGCAAGAGAGGAAGGTGGCTGGGGTCTCGCCTGGAGCCCTTTGTGGGAAGATACTACCAGTCCCTTCCAAAGTCCCTATGGCTGGGAGGGGTCTGCAGAACAGGGTCGGCAGGGGTGAGGGGCTTCCGGCCACCAGGCCCCAGAGCCTGCCCTGCCCTGAAGCAGCAGGTGTTACCACCTGTCCCCAAGTCCCCTTCACTCAGCACCCCCTCCCTGCCTGGTCCTTGAGGGCCCCCCACAGCACCACTCTCCCCAGCCAGCACGCTACATGGCTCCTGGACCCCAGCTTCCGACAGGCACCTCCCCACCTGCTCTGACTTTGGGGAAACCAACTCTACAGCCTCAGAAGACACATTTGGAAACGAAACCCTGACAGCCAAATCCATTTACATAATCAGCCTCTTTTTCTCCTACTCACAATTTAAACAACTTATTTATTTAGAGATTAAGCCACGACTGCTGATGAGTTTTACACAAAGCTCACTAACAAGGGGCCCTGGAACAGCCGGGTAATCACAGCAGGAATTAGTTTTCTACTTAAACATCCTTCCTTTGCAACATATCAATCTAATGTGTCCGATATTGCCATTAACAAGCAGATACATTGCTCAATTAAATTACAAAATGAGCTGCAAAGCCCTCGTTAGGCCTCGTGTTTAATTTGCACGGCTCTGCCTACCGGGAGCTGGTGCGATCGTGCCCCTTGGTTCTAATGTGTTGTGATGATGGGGCGAGTGCAGCTGTCACCAACAGGTTGGATGGCGCAATTTCACAAATATTAAGCACCAGGAGCCCGTGTGGGGGAGAAGCCCTGACATTCCCGGCCTCTTGACCTCTCCCACAGTCAGTTAGCAAAGCTGGTCGGGGGCTTTGGGCTTGGGGATCTCTCTGCCTAGGGCTGGGACTGGGCTCTGACACGGAAAGAGGTCTGGGATGACCTCGCTCCGTCTGGCTTGTCCCTACAGTGAGCATGGGAGTATGATAAGGGGGGTCTGCCAGCGCTAAGTCCAGCCTGCAGCAGCCTGGGGCCTGCTGGCCTCCAACAAAAACAGGCCACGTGCACTTGCTGACCGTGGCAGGCTACATTAGCCAGGCGTGGTGGTGCCTGTGCTCCAGCTCCTTGGGAGGCTGAGGCAGAAGGATTGTCTGAGCCCCGGAGGTCCAGCTATGATGGCAGCCTGCACTCCAGCCTGGGCCAGAGTGAGACCCCATCCATACAACAGGAAAGTGGACTGCAACAGAGTTGTGCTGCTATGGTATGGGGTCTTCCCGGCCCTGATCCCTGACCCTCACAAGCCTTTCCTTGTCTCGGGGAGATGGTGAGGACGGAAGGGCACAATGCTTCCCTCCTTCCTCCAGGCCAGGCTGGGACCCCCGACGCCACACCCCACGTGCTCTGGGGGGTTTGGCTCACAGAGGCTGGGCCTGGCTCAGAGAACTGGAAGCTGGAGGGGCGTGGACCCCAGGCAGGGACAATCTCTGTTCTGGACTGCACTGGGGATCCCGGACTGACTCTATGACAGCCGGGGAGCCCAGTGATGTCGGTCAGATTAGAAGGACCTGCCGGCTGGCTCAACCTCTGCCCCTGCTTCCCAATGTTCCCTGGGCAGAGAGTGGCGAAACTTACTCTCGATTTGTTGTGTCTGGGGTGTAGCACCCAGGGGCCAGAAGCACAGGGTGGATCCGTTGGAAGCCGGGTAAGGTGTGGGTGCCTTCTCCATGGCCCCCTCTGCTGGGGTGACCCATGTGGCTGGCAGGGAGTGTCCAGTCCACTCACCACATGCTGGGGCCACCCCTCCCTGTCCCACCGTGCCCACCCTGTCACCACTGAGGCCTCCTGCAACTGTGGCCAGCGTGCACACACCAATTCCTCAGTTACGCATCTGGGAACTACCTACTGACATCAGTGCCACGTCCCCTGCCCTCAGCCCGGACCCCTGGAGGACACAATTGGACACCAGTCCCTCTTGGTGGAACCAAATCAGAGCTAAAGTTCAAGTGGACCATGAGAGATTATGGACATGTGGTCAAGTTGTCCAGGAGAGACCACTGACATGTGTGCATGAGCTCGCTCGCCTCCCAGGAGCCTGTGCCCTCCACCATGGCCACGTGTACACAACCTCACTCACCTCCTGGGGGATCCTGTGCCCTCCACTGTGGACATGTGTAGATGACCCCACTCACCTCCTGGGAGGACCCATGTCTCCACTGTGGACATGTGTGCATGACCCCACTTGCCCCTGAGGAAGCCGGTGTCCTCCACCAGTACAGAGAGAGGGTGGTGTGGGTGCTCCTGCTCCCCATAAGCTTACACTTCCAGGGCCTAGGCAGGGCCACTGGGCCGGGGTGCTCCACAGGCCAGGGCCAGAAAGGGCGAGTGAGGCCCACAGGGGAGGATCAACTTTCTGGGAGGCTGGCAGGGATGCCAAGTCGTCCCACAGGGCTGCTGTAAACATGAACATAAACATAAACAGTGTGCACCGTGGCTGGGGCCGGCCTCCCTTTACCTGTCCCCCATGTAGCCAGGGGTGCAGTGGCACTGTCCAGTCACATGGTCGCACTGCCCTCCATGGTGGCACGGGCAGTCCTGGCTGCAGTTCTGGCCAAACATCCCCGGTGGGCAGGGCTGGGCACACACAGCTCCCTGGAACAGAGGTGGGGAGGCACACAGGTGGGCTCCTCAGGGGCTGTCCTGAGGCCTCAGGCTCCCAGAGGCAGCACTGCCATGGTCCCAGGACCAGCCTGTCCTCTTGTGGGCCTGTTTCTCTCCTCGGAGATGGAGATGGGCCGGCTTACAGTCAGTTGTACAGAACACACTCAGTGGAGGCCTACTGTATTCCAGGGCTGGGCTGGACTAGGGGCATGCACTCTCACACTCACAGACACCACACACACATACACACACACTCACACAAATACACGCTCACAGATACCACACTCACATGCATGCACACACTCACATGCTCACAAACTCACAGACACCACAAATATATGCAGGTACACACTTGCTCACAGACACCAAACATGTATGCACACACACACACTCAGCATACATACACATGCATGCTCACAGACATCACACACACACACACTCACACTCACACTCAGACTCCACATACTCACACACTCAGACATCACATACTCACACACTCAGACATGCTTACATACTTCACACACACTTGCTCTCACACACACATACATTGACCCACACACAGGCATCACCGCATACACTCTCACACACATTCACACACTCAGACACTCACAGACCATACACATGTACTTACACACGAACATGCTCACACTCAGACATGCTCACAGATGCCACACATGCACACTCACACACAGATGCATACACACACCCACACACATGCTCACACACTCAGACACAGACACACACTGACACACGCACACTGACACACTCAGACACTCATAGATACCATACACACACATACACATTCAGATGCACTCACTTGCACAAACACTCACATGCACATACACACTCATATGCACACACATCATATGCATACACATGCACACACAGGCGGGCTCCTGCAGGCATCCCCAGAGCTGACAAACGCCAAGGCCAAAGCCTGGACAGCTCCCTTCTAGTCCCATGAGGCCAGGCTTCTGGGGAGTCAGGAGATGTGCATGAGTGATCTTCTTGTTTCTGAGGGAGGAGCATGTGACTGAAGTCAATAGCCAGTAGGAACATGGGTGGGGAAGGTGCCATGGTGGGGGCTTCTCTCCAGAATCCTGCCCTCTACCCCAACCCTGGGAGGAGCATCGGACAGAGCCAGGTAACTGTCCTGTGACCTGCAAGCACTGGACATTAACAATTCACACGAATCTGCAAGTTAAATGAAGAATAGAAACACAGCTGTCTACAATGAACCAGAAGCATAAAGTCCCCAAGCTCATAGGCTTCTGCTGAGTGTCCTGTCTTTTGAGGAACAAGTTTCTCAGTGTAAGGAGGAAACACTCCTGTCAACCTCCAGCAGTGTCCACAGGCCTCAGAAACAGGGCCACCTGCAGCCTGTCTGTGTCCACATCCTGGTCCAACCTCTGTGCTGCCCAGAGTCTCAGGACGCCCTGGGTGTGCATTTTCAGAAGCTGGCTGAGGAAAGAGGACCTTTCCAGAGACAGACATGTGGGCGTGAGGGATGTGGGCAGGTGTAGAGACAGGGACAGGTGTGGGACACGTGTGCAGGTGTGGACACATGGGCAGGTATGAGACATGGGCAGGTGTGGACATGTGAGCAGGTGTGAGGATGTGAGTAGGTGTACACACATGGGCAGGTGTGAGACACAGGCAGATGTGGACATTTGGGCAGGTGTGAGATGCAGGCAGGTGTGGACTCGTGGGCAGGTGTGAGATGCAGGCAGGTATGGACATATGGGCGGGTGTGAGACGCAGGCAGGTGTGGACATGAGGGCAGGTGTGAAGATGCAGGTAGGTGTAGGACATGCGGGCAAGTATAGACATGTAGTCAGCTGTAGAAACATGGGCAGGTGCAAGATGCAGGCAGGTGCAAGACATGGGCAGGTGTGAACATGTGAGCAGGTGTGAAGATGAAGGCAGGTGCAGGACAAGGGGCAGAGGTGGGCATGTGGTCAGGTGTGGAGATGTGGGCAGGCGTGGACACACAGGCAGATGTGGAGACACTAGGTCACATGGGCAGGTATGGGACAGGTGAGCAGGTGTGCATACATGGGCAGGTGTGAGATACAGATAGGTGTGGGCATGTGGGCAGGCATGTACACATGGCCAGTGTAGGACATGTGGGTAAGTATGGACACATGGGCAGGCATGGACACATGGCAGGTGTGGACACGTGGACAGGTATAGACATGCAGCAGATGTGGATGCGCAGGCAGGTATGGACACATGGGCAGTCATGGACACATGGCAGGTGTGGACACAGGGCAGGGGTGGACACGTGGGCAGGTATGGGAGAGGCTGAGGGTGTGGCAGTCCCCTTTTCCTCTCAGAAGAGACAGATGGGTGGACAGACAGACACTAAGGCTTGGCAGTCGGGAGTTGGGAGACCAGCACCCCCATTAACAAGAGGAGTGGGAGGTGGTTCCAAGGCCCCATCAGCCACCCCAGGGACTTGGATCTCTAGTTCTAACAGTCTCCCAGGCAACAGTGAGGCAGCAGGCACTGCCTGCAGGTCTCATCTGGAAAAATCCTTCTGTGGAGTTCCTGGCTGGGGGTAAGGCAGGAGCCTGACCATTGGGACACATCTGCCTTCCCACATTGGTCTCTGTGTTGAGGTTCTGGGCAAGAATTATGTTCCGACAGCTCCCCCCCCCACTTTAAGAGTGGAACCTCCTGCTTTGTCAAGACCTTCCTTTCTCAGAAGAGGTAACTGAGGCTCAGAGAGGGGAAGGGACCTGCCCTAGGCCAGGCTGTTTCTCAGGAGTGAGGTGAAGTTACAGGAGCTTAGGTGACGCACACCTACTGTCTCTTCTCCTTCTCCTTCCCAGCCCCTTTGGCCACGTCAGCGAGAGCCTGGGCAGCGTATGTTGTGCCTGTGCCAAAGACAGAGCCCATCTTATGAGAACTCAGCTCCTCTGTACACAAGGACCACAGGCTTAGAAGGGCTGAGCAACTGGTTTCAAGCCACACAGCACTCTGGGATGGGAGCCCTGGGACCGTGTCCATAGCACCATGGACAGTATCTAGCAATGCCCTGTGCCATGCATACAAAGGAGGGCATTGAGGATGAGGAAGGAACCTAGCCTTTCAGGATTGTGAGCAAGGGATGCTTGGTCTATCTATCCTGTACAGGCCTCCAGACTCTGTTGCCCACTTACCCCCTACAGGTCCCCAGGCCTCATGGCCCACCTACCCTCTACAGGCCCCAGCCCCTGCACCCCCCTACCGTCCAGCCTGGGGGGCAGGCACACTCGCCAGTGATGTGGTGGCAGGTGCCCCCATTCTGGCAGGGGCAGCGCAGCTCACAGTGGGCGCCATGGCTCCCGGGCGGGCACAGCTCCTCACAGCTGCATGGACAAGCAAAGGCGTTAGACGTGGCAGCATTTAGGTCAGGCGTTGGGGCCTGGGGCAGCCAGTGCCTGCTCCCCAGCTCCCTAGGGATGAGCAGTCCATGTCGGAGAATTGCACTGGGCACAGTGGAGCAGGGCTCAGGCAGAACAACCTGGAATGTGTTCTAATTCCATGCTTGGGCCGGTGCTGTGGAACGGCCTTAGTGTTCTTAGTGGAAAGGTGAGTGTTCTGAGAGGAGGCTGAGGAAGGCTTTGGGCCTTGAAGGTGAAGTTCATTTCACCAAGAAAACAGGAAGAAGTGGACACTAGGTAAAAGTAATGGCAAGAGCAAAGGCCCTGGAAATGGCCATGGACCTGCCTTCAGGAGTCTGCCTAGATGTAGAGGAGGCGGGGATCTGAAACTTGTCCTTCTGGGCTTGGTAAGGCTCCCATCTACCATGACAGGCTCACAGGCAGGGACTGGGCGCTGTCCAGGTGTGGGAGTGGGTAAGCACGGGGTCCTGGCCTAGGGCCTTCGGCATTCAGGTCCTGGGAGCCACCAGACATCGGGGCAGGGAACACCCTCAATCAAGGGCATCTGTGGTCAGTCCTGGCTGCTCCAGGAGGATCCAGGCAGTTGGAGAGGCCACAGGACCATCCAAGGGTTGGGAGACTTTCAGTCCTGCCTCTGAGGGGTCTCCAGGAAGCAGCCTTGAAGGGCCCCTGGCAAGACGACTCTCCAGGCAGCCGGGGTGAGGGGTTGCTTGGGGTCTGAGACACAGTGACCCTCCAAATCTGCACATGGTGTCTACCCACCGCCCTCCCTTTCTTTGTCCACAGGGCTTGGAACCGGTGGGGGGGAGGAGAGCAGCAGCACGTGGATTCAGGTCAGAACAGGATTCCAGGCTCTGGCCAACTCTGTGAGGAGGGGCCTCCCAGGAGGAGTAGAGTGCTTCTCTGGTTGTGGGGGCACCCACTGTGCACCTTCTCAGGAAGGTGGGGGCACCCAGGGCCTGGATAGCAGAGATCTGAGACCTGTGTGGGTGATGCCTCGGCTGGACTCTGCAAGACTTGGGGTCAGACCTCGGAGACTTCAGTCAGAACTCCCGGCCCTCCTGGTCCACCACCCAGCCCACCAGCGAGGAGCCCAGGGCAGGGCAGGTAGCTGTGATGATGGCTGGACAGACCTCGTCCACACAGGCCCCTCCCCATCTTGACCCCAACACCAGATGCCGCCCCTCCAGGCCAAGTCCTCCAGGCCCCGGCCCTGACCCCATCCGTCTCTCAGGCCCCACTCCGCCCATCCTGGCTCTGCCTCTCTCCAGCCCCAACGTCCCATCCCCGCCCCTGCCGGCCCGGTCCTGGCCCCACCCCTTCAGGTACCGTCCCGCCTCCAGACCTCGCCCTACTCACTAGACGCCGGTGTAGCCGGGCGCGCAGAGGCACTGGCCGGTGCGGGGGTCGCAGCTGGCGCCGTGGCGGCACTGGCACGGCAGCTGGCAGCCCTTGCCGTGGGTGCCGGGCGCGCAGAGCTCCTCGCAGCGCCACCCGCGGAAGCCAGCGGCGCAGACGCAGGCGCCCGTGATGGGGTTGCACAGGGCGCCGTTCTGGCACTGGCACCGGTTGCTGCAGTGGGGTCCCCAGTGGTCGCTGTCGCAGCCTGCAAGAGATGGGGCGTCAGGCCCGCGAGCTCGCCTTCCGGACAGCTCCCGTGGGCGGGGGCGGCTAGGGTGCCTGGGGGAACCTCCATTAGCTCCCTCACTACATCACTCCCCACTCGGCCGCCCCGAAGTCACCCGCTAGGGGGCCTCCCCGTCGACTATTCCCGACTCAAGCCGCCCAGCCCTCCTGCACGGACGAGTCACAGCTGGTCCCATTCTCGGGGCGGCTTGTCTGTTCCTCTTAGCCAGGCCCTGTCTTGTCCCACCACCCAGCCCTCTCCTCCCGGACCCC